TTGCTTGGTAGTACAGCAAAGGAGCTGCACAGGAAAGGATCTATGCTGCTCCTCCTACACCCAGGAGAATACCATGAGCTCTACCAAAAGCACTCCTGAAGTGAGTCTAGAGCTTTGCAACATCCCCATACAAGAGAGGAGGTTATAATGAAAGAAAAGCCCAGTTCCAGCCTTCTGGGGCCTAAACTCAAGGACCACAGTGATAAAAYGGAAAAGAGAGGGGTAGCACAGCCTCTCCTGCTCTTCTCTCAGTGAAAGGAGATGTGCTGAACACCTCAAACCAATGGCACCCTGCAGGGGAGGAAAAAGATCCTTGGGACTATGAAAACAAAAGCACACTCAGCCTGGTGCACAGAAGACAAACTCCATGGACAGATTCCCTTCCTCCAAGTGCACACCACTGCTTCCATGGCATCAAAGTTCCCAGCTGTGCTGAATGCACATATGGAGGCATAAGCACACAGAGTGGTGGTGCTGGAGATGCACTATCTCTGGAAGGCCTCTCCCAAAAGAGGCTCAMAAGCTTGAACCAACTCCCTACCACTCCTCAGCTTCATCACCCAGCTAGGTGACATGTCCTGCTGCTGGATTTCACCCATCAAACACCYCTACAACACTGGCAGATCAGAAAGAAAGCACCTTTCTGCACTGTTGCTGTGGAAGCAAGAAGTAGAAGCAATAGGTAGAAGAAGTAGTGGCAATAGGAGGCTCACGAAGACGGACCTAAGGGTAAACACATTCCTGGATCAAGATGCTTTTGTGAACTTCTTGGGCTCCACATGCTTTTTGGAGAAGGAAACTTTGCAGCCCAAGAGTAAAGCCAGTTGACAACCCACATTTCTGTCCCAAACTGAACTCTTCTGCTTAAAAGCATCACCACTGTCCAACTGCATCAACAGCTTTTCATTCTCCTGACAGAATATCAAGCTTCTTACAGGCCACCACAGCTTCAGGAGCTGGAAATGACTCACCAATCTTTTGACAGTAGAAATCTGGGTGACTTGTAAGTTTGGTTGCCCCAGACAGATTCCACTCAAGCACATATCCATGCTCACCCCACTGGAGCAGAAGAAAGCGGCTCCAGGTCCTTCACTGACACCTTGTGTCAGAAGCAGGAACTGGATACAACAGCGACCACCAGCCAGGCTCCAAACGATACCAGCTCAGGTGCTGAGAAACAACCAGAGCACCAGGACTTTTGGAGCTGAAAGAAGGGATTAGACATGTTATTGCTAAAGGGTTTAAGAGAAAGCCTAAACCAAAACAGTTCTCACACACACCCCTCAAACCCTGACATATTTTTCTGCACTTCTTAAGGCCAGCTCAGGAGCCTGCCTGACCACAGGCAGCCCATTTGGCTCTCTGTTTCTGACTCAGCTACAAGGGAGAGCTTGGATTAGGTTACCTTGTGATCAGACAAGCAAGGACAACAGTGGATCACTCAGAAAAAGCATGATTTCCTCCCTTCCAGCCGCACTGAACTGCCAGCCCAAGTCCTGAAGCAGACATGTCAATCCCTTTATGCTTCCAGACTTATCTGGGCRCATGAGAGGGAGCGGCATTTCAGACCCAGAAGCACAAGCCAGATATTCAATTCCCAGAGCCAGACCCGGATCAGCCTTGGTCCTTCAGGCTTTCTCCATGGCCAAGGCAATCACTTGCTCCAGGACTGGGACTAACTGCAGAGCCAGATTTACASGCAACAAGCGGCAGCAAAGAACAAACTGAGAGTAGAGAAGAATGTATCAGTAATTTATGGCCCAATASTTATTCCAGCTGCTAATACACCAGCCACTGCCTGGATTTAGTGCAGACGAGCATCTGGGAGAGAAAGAAACACATTAAAAGTCTGTGGAGCACAGAAAACAAATACTGAAATAAGAAAATCAGCATTAAAAAGACAGAGGAAAGAAATGGTCTAATCAGAGACCTATGTAAATAATAAAGAACAATGCTCCTTTGAAGGAAAACCCCTCTCTAAAAGCACAGCAAGCCAAGTGAAGGAGGAACAAGACTGGCAGTGAATTTGGAAGAGCCTTCAGGTTCTCAGTGAAGCGTGACCAGGAGCACAGCAGTGGCTGCCACCACACAACTGTTGGGGATAGAACAGCAACAATACCATTGCAAACGTACAGGAACTCCTGTGACTCATTCCAAATGCAGCCAACACCACTGCAAGGGAGAACTAGGTTTAAGCAGCTTGGTTCAGAAAGCAGGAAAGGGAGAAAAAAGAGAAGCTCCAAGAAGAGAAAGACTCTGAAGAGGAAGTTATCTGCAGGAAAGGTGAAAAGTCACAGCTCAGGGCATGCCTGACTACCAAGAGAGCAGAAGTAACTCCTACTGCCCTCTTTCAGGCCCTGGGCTCCACAGCCCCACAGGAATGACAATGACTGCTGCAAGCAAAGAGCTGCAAAAAAAAGAAGTGGAAAATGAGCTTCTGTCCTAAAAACATCCTGAGATTTTTTTTAAGGTGGAGATTGGGGCACAACACAACACTCTGTTCCCATTCTGTTGTTAGCTGGAGTGAGCAGATCCAGGTAACTTACATCCAGGGTTCAGCTGGCCAGGGATTCATATAAACAGTCAATGTCAATGTCAATTAACCACTCAGTAATGATTGTCTAGATAAAGTTTCTTGGAAGAAAAAATGATGCAGTAATTATAGTTCCACTGATCAAAACAACCAACATCTCTGGATGAGTGCACTTCCAGCTTATTTCAAATGAGGCCTGGTTTTAATCTTTCTGATTTGTGATCCAGGTTCTGGACACCAGAGAGTAAAAACTGTTAAGCAGGTCACTGATCAAAGGAACAGTTTAGCACCAACAATTAAGATGATAAGCTGATCACATGTGATCATAGAACCGCAGAATAGTTTGGCTTGGAAGGGACCTTTAAAGGCCACGTAGTCYAACCCGCTGCAATGAGCAGGGACATCTTCAACTTGGTCTTGAACACTTGCAAGAATGGGGCATCCACCACCTCTCTGGGCAACCTGTGCCAATGCTTCACCACACTCATTATAAAGAAAACAAATCTTCAGAGTTCTCCAAGTTTGTACACACTCATCTAGAAACAAGACGATGGCTGGAAGTCAGAACTAGCCTCAAAAGTGATCTCAAGATCACATGCAACAGGTAATTCACTGGTGAATTTACTCAGATGTGCACCAGATTTTTTTCCACTAGTGATTCTTCAATAACATCAGGTACTATCCCAGTGACCCGATCACTTTAACAACTAATCATGAGTATTACGGATCTGAAATTATGCCCATAACCTTATTTCAGGCCTTAAAAAGGCTCCCTGCCCTTTACGGAGTGAAGGCACAAACACATCTCACCAGCAACGCCTGTCAAAACCCACCAGGCTCCCAACACCCGCAGGGCACACGGCACAGCTACATGGCCACCTCAAGAAAGCAGTGGGAGACCAAGCTCCCGTAAAYCGCTCTGTCAGCTGCTGCAATCACACGGCCGGGCTGACCGGGAAACTGAGTCAGCGGAGGCGGGGTGGGGGGACAGGACGGGACACCAAGTGCGTCCCCAGCCACGGGGTGAAGAGAGTACAGTGCTTCAAGAATGCGGCTATCGACTCTTTCCCCCACTGCCAGGCAGCCCCTCGCCTCCCCACAGCCCCCCACCATCTCCCCTCAGCCCACAGGCCGGACATTCCCCTCAGGATGGCGGGGAGAATGGGACTGCTCCCGCTGGCCTCAGGCCTCCACCACCACTCACCCTCCAGGCTCTCGCACTGCACCAGGTTCACGTAGTCGCCTTGTCGGAGYACCCCCGCTTTAAAGCCGCGCACCAGCCCTTCCAGGTACCCGTTATCCACGTTAAAATAAAGCTCCGGGAAACACGACATGGCGGCGGCGACGAGACCGGAGCGCTACCGCCCGCCGCCTCACGTGACTGGCGCCGGGTCACGTGGGCGCGGCCCCTTCCCGGCATGCACCGCGGGGCGGGAACGGCCTGAGGCGATGGCGCCCGCTGTCCCTCAGTTCTGTCCCTACGCACCGAGCCTAGGGTTCCTCTCCACTACACMTACGCCACCATGAGCGATACAGGCAGAAGAACACAAGTAAAGCTCGCAGAGTCGTCTCCTCTGCCGAGACACCACTTCTGTTAGTCAGGAAATACCTAGCCAGGTAAAAGGCTCTGCAGGAGCTGCTCTGTTAAAAAATAAAGTAATTTCGTTTGATGTAGAGGGGTTGCAAAATGTGGGATATGTCAAGGTTGTCTTAAGGCAGGATATTTTTTGATGTAGGACCTCTGTATACTTTCAAGCCTAATCAGGAACAGAGGAGACTTTATCAGTGGAACAAGCAGCAGCCAGCATCCCTCTCTCAGGAATATCGTGGAACAAGCTCTAAGGATGTAATAAGATGTTGATGCGTGCTTTATTAAGCTGGCGGAATACTCAAGGTCCATGTATGCTAAAGCTGAAGTGTCTTCACTGTAACACTAAAAATCCCACCTACAGATCCCAAAGACCCTGCCCAGGTGAAGACCCAGCCCCTGAGCGTGAGTAGAAGTTACCTGGAGTTACATGACTTGTATGGMAATTGGTAATCAATCTGAGTAATTTCCCAAGCACAGCCCCTCTATTAACCCTGAACTTCTCTGTRTAAACAATGGCAAGGAAAGCCCGGTGGTGTGTGCTGGATTTGTGGAATAGCACTGAGCACCCAGGCTGGGGCAGCTCTGRTATAAACAATCTATGTCTCTCTGGTGTGTGTCATTATCATCTCACTGTACACCAAGGAATAAACCCTGTTTTGTGGGTTTATTATTAGCAGCAGCATAGCCAAAGCATCACCTGGAGCACCCCTGCTGCTGAAACACCAATTATGTAGCTGGAAAAGGCGCATTTGCTTTGATGTGGAGGTGCCCTGGAGTGTTGCCTGTGTGGACAAGGTGCCTGCTTGTGCACAGCACCCTCACCTTGGACACATCACACCATTCCCACTCCMCAGTGACTTTTGCAAAGGGCTGGTTTATTGGAGCTGCAGAGAAGGAGGCACACATGGGAGCAAGGGGCTAGCAACCCCACGGGCGCTAGTTCTTGCCACAGGGGAGATTGGTGCTGATTTTCCTGCAGTAGCAAAAGGCGTTGAAGAAGCGGCAGTAGCAGGTGGCACAGGGGTCRCAGCAGGGGATCTGGTGGCCAAGGCAGGACTCCAGGAGACGGACGCAGCGGCGGGGAGAGCGCTCCTCACGGCCCGCAGCTTGCAGTTCTGTGGATGATGCCTGCAGGGGAGAGAGGGAAAAGAGGAGGGGAAGAGCTGGTGCTGGACCACTGTGCCAGCAATAAAGAGAGTGCCAAGAGTGGCTGCTGAAACCTGGCATTGCCAGCAGCAGAGGCTTCTGTCGTGTTCAACTCTGGGCTCTGTTTTCTGTTGGAAATCACTGCTGAGCCCTGTGGACTCTGCAGGCATTGCTGCCTCATGCAAGGTGTCTCAAGACCTTTCTGCACATTTATTCTGGACTTCAGCGAACTGTGCTGTGCCTTCTGCCCAAACRGAGGCACTGGGGGCTGAGCCAGGCACACACTGCACTGCCTAGTGAGATCCTACTCTGCAGAAGCTTCCTGGGCTGAGCTTGAGGCTAATTAAATGAGTTGCAGGAGCACAGGCATGGATCACTCTCCTTTGTGTGTTGGAGCCCTTGCAGATCTGGGCAACCTCAGCTCATCCCATCTCCTCAGGTGATGGACAATTAGTCGTATCCCAGGCAGCAGTTGGACTCCAAACCTCCCCAGTTCCAGGGACACTCCCCAGTCCCAAGGCCACCACACTCTTTGAGGTGTCTATGAGAAAGCTCAGGGGACAATACCTGTGGTTCCAGCACGCCGCCTCTTGGCACAAGGTCACCRTCAGCTTCTTGGACCCCCAGGGCCACCTGCTCAAACCCCAGCCTTGGGAGAGCTCCTGTGAGATACAGAGAGGCTGGACAAGGAGGCTGCTGGCAGGTCTAATTCTGCTCCCTGTGGTCGTGGGTCCCCACAAAAAAAAAAAGGCCCCACTCCCTGTGAGCTGCCAGGCTGCTCTCACTAGCCAGAGCCCAGAGGAGAAGCTGTGCTGCTTTAAGGAGATCCCCTAACTCTGGGTGTGGGATCCCCACTTCAGTTTTGGGGCCCTGGACATTCCAGCCAGTAGCTGGTGGGGGTCAGTGGAGAGCAGAGGGCCAAAGGACTCACCTGCCAGCTCCGCAGACACCTCCTTGACTTTCTGCTGCAGGCTGGCCTGGTGGGCTCTGTCCACCCTCTCCAGCCCGCCGCTCACCTTCTGCAGGTGGCCACAGCTGAGGTCAGCAGTCCTGAGATCCAGGACAGCCTGGACCCCGTGCAGCAGCCCRCAGCACAGCAACAGCACGTTCAGCATGATCCTGGGGGACAACCTGTGCAGAGGGGCCCGACCAGCATCAGCCCACCAGCAGGCAGCCTGGCCCATCCCTCCACTGCCATCACCACCCCGGCTGAGAAGCACCGTGTCAGCGAGGGGCAGCCTCTGCCAGCTCAGCCACTGCTCCCAGTTGTTCGCTCCCTTGGAAGTTGAGAGCCACTTTCGGGCCCACACACACCTGGGAGCAGGACCCTGCAAAGCTAATCTCATGTGCTGTGGGGCAGCCCACATGTGAGCACATTCATGACCTCCCCCACATAAAGGGACGACTAGCAGAGAATGGACTGAGATTTGGTATTTTTTGCATCAGTTCAGGATCTTCTGCCCCACACATAGCAGCCACCAGACCRGTGAGGTGCAGAGTGTGTGGCCAAAACATCTGACATGGCTCCTGYCAGGCTCTCAGCCTGGAAGTTCTACTAGAATCAGTGCTGGGCAGGGAGAAGGACCACGGCGCACATGGCTGGAGGACAGGAGAAGCTGCARGGTCGGGCTGTGGGTTTTGAGGGCCTTAAGGCTCTAAAAAGCAGATGACCTCTTAGGGAGCAAAATAAAAGTGATCAGGAGGTAATATCCTAGTTGCTGCTGTCAGCCAGATCCTGGRAAACCCTGTGCCTGCAGCTTTGACAGCCTTGAGGTTCCAAACCTGACTCCAGCAGCCCAATGCTGGCCACTCCTCATCTCCCCATCCCACAAAATCACCCAGTTCTTTGCTAGGAGAGACCCCTCTGCYCTGTGGGGAACTCCACAGCCACGGGTGTCACATCCCACACACTCCCAAGACCCTTCCCATGGTAAGCACTGACCTCTCCGAGCGGAGAGGGGGATTGCCGTTCGCTGCTCCACCCAGCTCGCTGGAAGCGCTGCTACCGCTCTCTSCCTCAGTGTCCTCCTCCCCACATGCTTACCGGGATTTATATCGGCTTTTTATTAATTAAGTGCTGCAGCCACATGACTCTACTAACTACCAGGTAGGTGGGAGTCTCTGGAAAACGGGCTTTGTGTGGATGGAGAGGCAGCCAGTGGGGCGATGCTTGGGAGGGGGGACTCTGCTTTGTGCATCATACAGCTGGAGGAAGGAACAGATTCCTGTTAATTCTAAACTCYCAAGTTTCTTGGAAGCGATCCCCACCGTCCTTCCAGCCCACTTCCCTTTCCAGCTCACTTCCCTCTCCAGCCATGCTTGAGSAGCATTGAGGCTGCAGCCTGAGGACATTTCCTAGCTCCCTGATAGAGAAATAAGAGGTCTACAGTCTCCTCACCAAAACGATGCCAAGCCTGACTGTTTTTTTCRAAGGGAATGTTGCCTATCTGTATCTCCTGGCAAGCATCCAGTCATAGTGCAGAGCCTCCAGAAGTCCTCCAGTTCCTGACCACTCGCCATCTGCAGATCCTTCAGGCTTCCACCTGTGCTAACTGCTCATCTCTTACTTATGACTCGTTTGGAAAACCTGCATCTCCCTAGGGCCAGGCTCCTTTGGGGAATGCTTGTGGCCTTGAGTGACTTCAGCCCTGCAAAGAATTGGAGAAATAAGACACAGGAAGGGTTCAGCAGGCTGTGACATTGCTAGCAGAGAAGGCTGACAGCCCAGGCTCTGCCCTCACCGGGCTGCTCGCAGACCAGGAGGATCCTGCCAGGCCTCCCAKCACATCCCCAGCAGAGCGTGAGCCGCTGCTCCTGGCTGCAGCACCACCCCTGGGGCTCTTGGGAGGCTTCCTCTGCTCCTACATTCCCTGTCCCAGCATGATCTGATTCCTGCATTTGAGGGACAGGCTGAGCAGGCACAGGACCAGCGAGGAGCTCATCTGCCATGTGTCATTTGCTGCTGGAAACACTCAGCACCCATCTGGGTGCTCCATGGCACAACACCCAGTCAGGACTGCCCTGCCACAGCAGGGGATGCCTCCCACACCCCACACGCTTGGACACACTCATCATGGGCAAGAGGCAGGGGAAAGGCAGCCCCTTTCCATTCCCAAGGCCCAGGTGGGTGCAGAGTGTCCCATCCAGCCCAGCTCCTCCATCCCCAGCCCTGGGGGCCCCGGATCCGCRCTGCCCCCGGTCCCCGCTGACACCAGTCCCCGCACGGAGCCCTCAGYACAGCTCATTAGGGGCTGTTTGCAGCCGGCGGGGCCGCGGGCCAGGACTTCTGGGAAGGCATTAGCGGGAACGAGGGCGCTGAGAGCTTTTTAATCTGCAGGAGCAACATCTGCTTTGTGCGCATCCCGATGGCCAGTAACGAGCTAAATGAGGCGGCCGGCCGCTCGCCGGGCCGCTTCCAGGAAAAGAAGGCTTAAAGCGAGGGGGAAAGGGGGGCCAGGGCTGCRCTCCCGGCTCAGTGTTTGAGGCTCCAGCGAGGGTGGGAGTGGGCGATGGAGTGGGTCAGTGGCACAGCAGAGATGCCCGTGAGCGGGCATCCCGGGCAGGAGCTCCCAACGGCAGGACCCTCGGGAGACAAGCTCTGGCTGGGGGCTCTCCTTCTCCTCCTGGAAGCATCCAGGCAGGCGGGCTGCTCATTTAGCTCACCACCAGCCCTCGTTACCGCTAAGGCCGACAGAGTCCCCGCTACCCCAAACAGGCAGTAACGACCCGGGCCGCCGGAGCTGCCCCTCAGAAAGTGCGAYGAGCATTGCCCCAGCCTCAGCCCCGCCGGGCCGGGCCCTTTAAGGCGCGATCCCGGAGCCGCCCTGACGTCAGCGGGGCGGGCGCGCCCGGGCACCGCAGCCCCGGCGGCCGCAGCTCCGCGCCCCGGTGAGTGCGGCTCCGCCGGGGCGCACCGGGGGCAGGGGCARGGACTGGGGTGGGTATCGCGCTACCCGGGGCGCTGGAGGGGGAGCTTGGGAGTGCCCAGGTGCTGAGGTCTGGAGGTGAGGGCGTAGCGGTGCCACGGATGTTGGGGACTGGAGATGGGCATAGGGGAGTGACAGRGGTGCTGGAGACCTGAAGGTTGGCGATATGGGGGTGGCCCGGCKTGCTGGGGACTGGAGATGGAGGTATGGGGGTGCCCAAAGGTGCCGGGGAGTGGACGTGACCATATTGGGGTTTCCAGGATGCCGAATACTTGGAGGCTGGTATTATTGGGGTGCCCAGGATGCTGGGATCTCGGAGTATGGGTTGACAGGGATGCGGGCGATTTGGAGATAGAGGTATGGAGTGCTCAGGCTGCTGGGAACCAGGAGAGCGGGGGTATAGGGGCTCAGTGTGATGAGGGACTGGAGGCAAAGGGTACTGGGGTGCCCAGAGTGCTGCAGTTCTGGACACCTGGAGGAGAGGGTATCAGGATGTCCTGCAGTGCTAGGAAGTGTGTGTGGGGGGGTGTATCGGGTTGTCCAGGCTGCTTGGAACTGAAAGGGAGGCTGTTGGARTGCTCAGTAGGATGGGGACCTGGACATGGGGATTATGGGCTAACCTAGGATACTCAGGAGATGGAGGATGGAAGTATCGAGATCTCCAGAGTACTAGGAACTGRAGGGGGATACAGATGGCTGCTTAGATCCCGGGATGGGGACTKGGAGGTGGAGTGTCAGGGGTGCTCAGGCTGCTGGGGACTCTGATGTCCTGGGGGTCCTGGTGTCAATGGTGCTGGGGGACCTGGTATTTGGGGGAACCTCATCCCTCACCCCACATTGCTCAGCATCTTGTCCATCCCACAGCGCCTGATGCCTGTCCCCACCTGACGCCACCACCATGGCCGGGGCACAGGGCTGCGGTGAGGGCAAGATCGCGGGGCTGTACGACCTGGAGCGCACGCTGGGCAAGGGCCACTTTGCGGTGGTGAAGTTGGCCCGGCACGTTTTCACCGGGCAGCGCGTGGCCGTCAAGGTGATCGACAAGAGCAAGCTGGCGGGGGAGGCAGCAGGGCAGCTCCTGCAGGAGGTGCGCTGCATGAAGCTGGTGCAGCACCCCAATGTGGTGCGCCTCTACGAGGTCATCGACACCCACGCCAAGCTCTACCTCATCCTGGAGCTGGGTGACGGTGGGGACATGTTTGACCACATCATGCGGCATGAGGGCGGCCTGGCTGAGCCACGGGCCAAGCACTATTTTGCCCAGATCGTCCACGCCATCTCCTATTGCCACAAGCTCCACGTGGTGCACCGCGACCTCAAGCCCGAGAATGTGGTCTTCTTCGAGGAGCAAGGGGTGGTCAAGCTCACAGATTTTGGCTTCAGCAACCGCTTCCAGCCCGGCAAGATGCTCACCACCAGCTGTGGCTCCCTGGCTTACTCRGCACCAGAGATCCTGCTTGGGGACGAGTACGATGCCCCTGCTGTTGGTAAGGGCTGTGGGGTGCCCTGGGGTCCTGCCTCCCTCCTGTCCCCAGCTTGAAGCATCATCCTTTCAGCTGGATACCACCTCACTCTTGGCCCCTTACGCTGGGAGCACCCAGTGGCACTGCTGCCCCTGCAGGGAGCAACCCTGTCTCTTGGGTGCTTGGCTGCCCAGCCCTGCCCTGGCAAAGCATGAGTCCTCTCGGCATCCACAGAGATCTCACAGAGTGAGATGGGGAGGGGAAAAAGCCCAAGCAGGCTGTGAGCCTGGCGTGGCATCCGCCAGGAGAAGCAGTGTGAGGATACAGCTGCCAGCAATCTGGCGCTAGTGGTTATTTGGCGGGGTGAGGCCGGAAGGAAATCTGTGCGGGATGCTGCTGTTTGGGTGGAGGAGCTCCGAAAGTTTCCTTTGCTCCATCCCCGCCCTGAAAACCACTTCCTCTCCATGGCTTCCAGTGCCCTTCCTCCCCTGGCCAGGGTGCAGGGGCCTGGGGAGACTGTGCCAGGGCACAGGGAACTGGGCTGGGGGCTCCAAGAGGCTCTGCTGTGACAGAGGGGACGTGGGAGTGAAGCAGGATCCGAGCTGGCTGGCTGGCTGGAATTAGGGCAGGAGGATTTAGCAAAGCAAAACACGAGCCCTTAAAGGCAAAAGCCCAGTGTTGGCTCAGGGAAAGGCAGATCTCGAGCTGAGAACAGGGATAGCTTACGGA